CCGAGGAGAACCTCAAAGGTGACGGTCCTTGCTTCTGGGATGTGGGCGGCGACGTCAAGGAGGCCGAAAAGTACCTGCTGGCGCTGGGTGCTAGTCCTGAAGCCGCGAGGCTTGCTGCAGAGCGAAGGGGCGAGCTGGGAGGCTTTGGAGACGAAGGAGCCCCCTTGTGCATAGCGGAGGTCGTTGCTCTCGGACCTAAGTGCTACAGCGAGTGGCAGACCGACGCTGCGAAGTTCTACCACAAGTTCAAGGCTAAGGGCTTCTCCAAACAACAGCGAAAGCAGATGACGCACGAGGCTTACCGGCGAGTTTGGATGGAGGGCAAACCTGGTGCTCCGTCGATTTCATATCGCTTCGAGTCCAAGAACCACGTGATGAACTTGGTCAAGGTGCAGAAGATAGGCCTCAGCCCCTTCACCGACAAAGTGTGGCAGCTGGATCGGTACAACAGCCGCCCGCACGGGCATTGGCGCAATATGCCGGAGCCCTTCGTGAGTCTTTGTCTCTTGGCCTTCGGTTTGCATGNNGCCTGCTTCGTGGACAAGGTGCTCAGCTTTCTTGTCGCTGACGCGGGGTACTTGGCCCTGGAGATGCGAGGTGGAAGCTTCAAAGGAGTTTTGAGAGGCTTGAGCTAGAAACTCAAGCGCTGTTTCATTTTGGACAGCTCCTCGCTGGCATGTGTACAGACTGTCTGGCCTTGGAGGTTACAGAAGCGGCTTCGGACAGTCCCGTTGATTCTGAGATTCGTTCCAAACAGCAAAACAAACAGAATGCAAGTCGCGTTTCTGTTGTCCAGGTGAGTTTCAACGCATGCGTTTTTTTTTTCTGTTTTTGTTCATGCTACAAGGTCCTCTTCACAGAGCTGGCGGACCTACTGGGAAATTTGCTCTTCGATCAGCCGCCGTCCTGGCTGCTCGCAGTTCTCTGCTTTGAATGGGGAACTGTCTTTGTCTTTCACCCTGTACCTTGCGTAAGTCCCTGGCTACTAACCTACCCCCACCCCAGCCTTCTAACGTGAACAGCGTGCCCGCGTTAGTGTAATCCACCTTAGATATCATGTAGACTCTTTCGCTCCAAGCAGTTTCGGTCACTCTGTACGAGCCCCTCCCATCTATAGGCTTAACCCTGACCCTAACCTGATCGCCAACGCTCAACTCAGGTCTCGGTTCAGCGCCTCGCTTGGCATTACGTTGCATGGTTCTCAGAGCTTTCAGTGCCTTCCGCGGTTCGTCGTAAGCTTCATTTGGCGTCACTCCTGTCCCAGCATGCTTGCGATCGTTGTACTGTTCTATGACATTTGGTAGTAGCAAGTGCCATTGGTTCCGCCTTCCCACGCCTGCGCTGAGTCTTCGCACCAACGCTTCTTTGAGAGTTCTGATTGCTCTTTCAGCCATGATAGCATGGCCCCTGCTGACTAGCTTCTCTATGTCCCAATAATCTAGTTTTTCCTTAAACTCGCGCTTGAATTCGCTACCATCGTCAGAATACACATAGGCGGGAATACCTAGATGCGTAACTACTTTGTTCCATGCCTCGGCGGCTGTTCTTGCTGTTTTGTCCTTCATCGGAACTGCTGTAGCCTTCTTGGTGAAACTATCCACCGCGACCAGCATGTAGGGGTAGGGTCCTCGCGCGAAGCTGCCCATGTCAGCGAGGTCCACTTGCAACTGGTGCATCGGCTCCGGAGGCACGTAGCTGTTGTAGCCGCGTTGGGGTCGGTCCTCTCGAGTGACCAAACCATCCATGAATCGCTTCACATCCTCCCTGCTGACGTTGGGGTCTTGCTGGCGGGCTTGCCGCAGGGTGTCTGCTGTGCT